ATTATAATATATAGTCTATTAATGCCATAGACTAGACTAAATTTGTTCTCATTTTGTCTCTCATAATCTTCATGGTTTTAGGTTTTACTCCTAGGTCTCTAATCTACAAACATTAGGAGCCAAACTATCACTGATTCAACTTATTTTTTTTAAAAAGGAACATTCTCAGAGTCATTTTATGAAGCAAGCGTGATTCCAATACCAAAACATGGCAAAGACATCACCAAAATAGAAAACTATAGAACTATATCTCTCATGAATATTGCTGTTACGTGCCATTTGAGTAGACTATGACCTTATAGCAACCCTATGAACAATAGCCCTCAAACCTGCACTATCCTTAGCCCTTTATCACCATTACTGACATACCTGTTCCCACTGCCACAATCACTGTGTCTATACATCTTATCTGAGATATTCCTCTCTTGCACTGACCCTCTACCCTTCCAAAAATAATGTCCTTCTCTTGGGATGCAGAAATCCTTAGCAAAATCCTGTTCAACAGAATCCTTGCCTCCCAGGAGCAGCCTGGTCTCACCCTCTTTAGGACGAACCTGTTTGTTCTCCTACCAGTCCATGGTATATTCAATACTCTTCTCCAGCACCACAGCTCAAAGGCATAAATTCTCCTTCTATCATCCCTAATCATTGTCCAGTTTTCTGATGCATAGCAAGTAATTTCAAAGACTATGGCCTGGATCAGGCACACTTTAGTCTCCAGACTGACATTGTTGCTCTTCTGTACTTTGGAGAGGTTTCTGAAAGCAGACTTTCCCAATGTAATTTATCTTTTCATTTCCTGGCTGCTGGTACCAAGAGTGCTGAATTTGGAGCCAAGCAAACTAAAGCTGCTAACAATCTCAATCTCTTTCCCATCTATCAAGATGCTGCCAATTGGCCCAATGGTGAGAATCTTTGTTTTCTTGATGTTGCGCTTTAATCCATATTGAAGGCTGCAGTCCTTGATCCTCTGCAGCAAGCACCTTAAGTCCTTTTCAGTTTCAGCAACAGTGTTGTGTCATTTGCATAACAGATTGTTGATGAGTCTACCTCAGTCCTGATGCCACATTTCTCCTCATAGAGCCCATCCTTGCAGATAATCTGTTCTTCCTATAAGTTGAAAAGGTATGTAGATAGGACACATCTCTGGTGTACACCCATCACA